ATAGGCTTCCCCATAAAGAGAGATTTTGTCAATAGTTGCCACGCTTGGCAACCGCAGTTAAGCGTTTAATTTAAGCTTAAAATTAAACACAGTAGAGGAAAGGGATTGTTAGTAATTGGACTAGAGAGTCTCTAATAGAGACCCCATTGTTAGCAATATATCATACAGTGCCCCCTGGAAACCATCATGGTCTATTCTGGTGAAAAACGTCATGATGGGACAACTGACCTGCTTCCATTCTCGCCTACCATCCCTTACTGGTGTCCCGCCAGCGTATACCGATAGCGCAGGCGGGGTTACCATTCTATTATCACTCATTAAATAAACCATAATGGACTAAAAACATAAAACTATAGATGTAGTATTCATTTAAGCATCAAACAGTAAGGAAACTACCAAAGTAGACGGTCGTATTGCCTCATTTGGAAAGAACATGCGATACAGCGATTAGGCAGTGAATATCGTTTTAAGTACTTGTTGAACCAAGGGCGTTTTGTATAAAGGCTGTTTAGCTTATCGATTGCTCACTTTTATTTATTTACTAGCGGCCCGTCCCGGCGTCGCACGGGTGGACATTTTTACATTTTAAAAAGTGGCCATCAAGGCTGCACACGCGGCGGAAGCTTAAAAATTGAGTAACTTCTCCCGTTTTCCCAACATTTCCCTTCACTGCTCTGCTCCTATTGATCGTAGCGTGATGAAAAGTATACTATAACCTGCCCGGGTGTATGAGGAATAATTGTACCAAGTTTCATTAAAATCCGTCGAGTAGTTTTTGTTTTTATGACGAACATACGGACAGACAAAAATGTTACTGATTGCATCTTTGTCATCAGTATCGATCACTAATCACCCGCTGATAGTTATTTTGGAAATATATTTCATGTACAGAATTGACCTCTCTACATGTATCTGTTTATTTATGTATGTGTATATGACTATGCTGTCACAGATATTATTTTTTACAAATCTATTTCTTTTAACGCGCCACCTACCTATTTATGCTTTAATTCCTTCTACCCACAGGTTGTCTGGAAGAGATTGCTTAGCAATAAGACCGCCTTTTGTACTACACTATACGTATTGAAAATTGTTCAACAAATCCTGTTATGTTGGTGCAATAAAGTGTTAAATAAATAAATAAACAATATTAAGTTGTAAATTTTCTTAGTTTATGTACTTTACATATACATATATATTTTTAAGGTTAAATATATTATAATATCTATTTAGGTATCTGTCCATTTCTTTATATTATTCATTATTCAACTTTTCTGATCCTTATCTTAAACTCCGTCGTCCAAAACTCCTTTACTAAAATGCTGTTTCCCAAGCTTTGTTTTTGGCGGATGCACTTTGTGCCGTGCCATAAGAAAGAAAAAAAAAGTACTTATTTTCTTTTAAAAAACAACATCGTTATTTTTTTTTCAATTACTAAAGTATTAGGTACACTTAAGTTAAATTCCATTGGATGTTATTGCTGATCTGTGTAACCTTAACATACCAGACTTTAAATGGCCTCCACGGATCATAGACAAGACGATTTATAAAAAAAGTTTATATTTTGCCGCGCATCGTTGGTTCGAAATTCAAATATCGAACGATCGATCAGAGTAGATTTAAGCTACTTTAAATATGTATCAGAGTGGAACTACACCTTGCTTAATATACATACCAATCTTAAAATGGCCTCCACGGGTTATAGACAAGGCGATTTACAAAAACTTTTTATAGACAAGACGATTTATTAAAAAAAGAAAGTTTATATTTTGCCGCGTTTCGTTAGTTCCAAATTTAAATATTGAACTTTTTTTTTATACAACTTAGAATGGCAAACAAGCTGACAGTCCACCTGATGGAAAGTGATAACCGTCGCGTACAGACATGAGCAGTACCATGGACATAACAGAGTATACTGTTTCGCCCATAATACACTCCATGCGTTGCCATTCCTGACGACTCAGGTGTTACTACTCTGTACCCAGTAAATTCACGCCATATCCCACCCTTCGAACCGTAACACAGCCATGCAAACACAACTGCTTCACGGTTGAAACACGAATGGGACAGAGGTGGCCAAGCAATCGACTTTTGTACAAAGTCTCCCTCTGGTTCAACGATCTGAGTAGAATTACACGGTACTAGCTGATAATGTTGCTTTCCATGGATGATATTTTTTAATCTGTTCTCTAATTACGTATGTTTATGCATTACAAATAGAAAATAAAATTTTTCCTCGTTAAAAGGTTGACTGTTTGGTAATTCCAAAGCACAGTTTTAGAGATTAACGTGTTCAATTAAACAAACTTTTCCGTTATATATTTTTTTAATGGGTGATAATGGAATGGTAACGCCGCCCGCGCTATCGGTATACACCGGCGGGGTACCAGTGAAGGATGATAGGTGAGGATGAAAACAGGTCAGTTAGCCTTACCACACACCACCTGGAGGTGGGAACCACATGGAGGTCGACTTGATAGAGCATATTGCTAGCAATGGGGCTGTCAAACTCTATTGCTAACAATCCCTTTCCCCCCTTTCCGCTATATTAGTAAGTAGGTATATGTTCTTTTTTTGTGTGAAAACGGACTTCTAATGAATGATAATTGAATGGTAGCCCCGCCTGCGCTAACGGTATACGCTGGCGGGGCACCAGTGAAATATGTTAAAAGAGGATTCAAGCAGATCACTCAGGCTCATCGCGACAAATTACACAAGAGTTAACCACGATAATTTCCAGGGGGAACCGCGTGGAGGTCGACCTGATATTACTAGCAATGGGATAACTAATCTTCATTACTAACAATCCCATCTCTCCCTGCACTAAATTAGTTTGAAAACAATAAGAGAAAAAAACTAAAGTAAAAGATTTCACAGAATGTAGAAGACAGAAAAAATGGTGTTGAACTGGGCTTATCATTGGGCTGTCATTTGCTTGGGTACCTCTGTCCCATTCGTGTTTCAACCGTGAAGCAGTTGTGTTTGCATAGCTGTGTTTCAGTTTGAAGAGTGAGATATGGCGTGAATTTACTGGGTACATAGGAATAACACCTGAGTCCTCATGAATAGCAACGCAAGGGGGGTATCATGGGCGAAACAGTATGTCTGTGTACGGTTATGTCCATGGTACTGCTCATGTCTATAGGCGACGGTTACCACTTTCCATCAGGTGGGCCGTCAGCTTGTTTGCCATTCTAAGTTGTATAAAAAAAAAAAGAGTAAAAATATTTCTTTCTTTCTATGTTTCAATAATTCTATTACAATACACACAGATACATCAGGGAGACATAACCTAGTCTAGACAGTCCATAACTATAATATAACCATAATTATCATGTATCATTCCACACACCTACCCATTAATATAATTAACCAACCAAAACCCATGGGAAGGTTACCTATAAACAATTTCATTGCTTCACATACATAGTACATTAACATTCACACATTTTAATTAACCCCATTAGATATATATAAACTACTTTTTTTTAATGACGCAATGGTAACCTGTCCTATTAGGATGTCTATCTCTCTCACACACTCACATTACAATGTTTAAAAGGTAGTTTGTACAAAAGTTGTTTACTTGGGCACCTCTGTCCCATTCGTGTTTTTTTTTTGTTGGATGAAAATGAATTGGTAACTCCGCTTGAGCTAACGGGATACGCTGGCAGAGCACCAGTGAAGGGTGATAGATGAGAATGAAAACAGGCCAGTTAGCCCATCATGATGAATTCATCAGGAATTAACCATGATAGTTTCCAGGGGGAATCGCGAGGAGGTCGACATGGTTGCGTATGTTGCTAGCAATGGGATTTTTAGTCTTCATTACTAACAATCCCTTTCCCCCCTGTCCTATTCGTGTTTCAACTGTGAAGCAGTTGGTTGCATGGCTGTATTTCGGTTTGAAGGGTGGGATATGGCAGTGAATTTTAAGGGTACAGAGGCACAACACCTGAGTCCACAGGAATGGCAACGCATGGGGGGTATCATGGGCGAAACAGTATACTCTGTTATGTCCATGGTACTGCTCACGTCTATAGGCGACAGTTACCACTTTCTATCAGGTGGGCCGTCAGCTTGTTTGCCATTCTAAGTTGCATAAAAAATAAAAAAAAAATAAAAGAAGTACACATGTGTCAACTTGTTTATTACTTGTCTATGAATCCATATGACAGTAAAAAAAACAGTAACAGAATGGTAGCCCGATCTGTGCTATCAGTATACACTGGTTGGGCAACAGTAATAGGTGAGGATGAAAGCAGGTCAATTAGCTCATGGTGGCTATTTCCACAAGAATTAACTATGATGGTTTCCAGGGAATCACATGGAGGTTGACTTGATAGGGTATATTGCTAGCAATGAGGCTGGTAGATTGTATTCTATTATTAACAATCCCGTACCCTCCCTCTATGTAAAAATTTAAAAGTCAATTTGATATCACAGTAAAATATTAAAAGAACCAATAGAATCAAAATTTTTAAGTTTTAATTCAAAATTATTATAAATTTAATTTATAACTACCTTTAAAATCTCAGAATCAATTATTTAAATTCAGCTTAAATATATATAACAAAGTGATTTAATTATTTTTTTATAACCATTTGCAGCTCCTAGAAGCTGAGGAATAAATATGAAATAGTCTATATTATTTTTATTTTTTCTACATGTCAATATTTTCACAAAAATAAATGTTAATTCGTAACAAAATAACTGTAAAAAAGTAATAAAAAAAATTGTAAAAAAGTAATAAAAAAAAATTGTAAAAAAGTAATAAAAAAAACTGTAAAAAAGTAATAAAGATAACTAACTTTAGCGGTATAAAAATTATCACATCATAAAACTATAAAACGCCCTATAAAACGCAAAACTTAAATTTCAAAATTATTTTATGCAACAACTAGAAAATTATACGTTTATGTAAGCTTGTAGTTATGTTAACCTACATTTTGTTTTGTAATATCTATTTGTAATGTTTATCAATAAATGTGTTTACTTACCGGAAAATCCGTTTAATATCACTTTCCCTTGCCTTCGAAGAACAATTTTAAAAATTAAAAAACTTCAATTGCGAAAAAAAAAACACTGTCCTAATCAGTATCACCTTGGGGAATACCACAGACGAAAAATCATATCTATGAAAAAAATTGCAAGAGCACAGGAAAATGTTCACATTAATTTATTTTTATTAATTTATTTCAACACGATGGCACAAAAATATTGATTGATTTTATTAATGCACGTTTTCTCTACTTAAGATAGACAGGTAATTGAATTTGATCACTATTTCTGTTTCTGGGGCCGTACCGTAACATTAATTTACAATTTGTTTCTATTTAGGCCGTAAAATCAGTCGCATGTTGTTAAAATAGATGTAATAAACAGTTATATGAATAAAGTATGCACACAGTCCCGCAAACTGCGAAATGTAGAAATCAAATCAACCTACTTTTAGATAGTAGAAAACTGACAGTTCTTTTATAACATAGCCATATTTTAAAATATAATACCTACTATATTTGTGAAACGGCAGAAATGAAATTGTACAGTTGTGTTGTTACAAATGCAAAGAAAGAATGAATAATTACACATTCTTTATATACACAATTTTTTATAAAACTTCGTGTGAGAAGACTTAGAAAATATATAATTAACTGATAATTAACTATTGTTAACCAACCTATGTTTAACCCCAACTTATGTTTAAAAATATTACACGCTTAAATTCAATATTAGAGAAACGAAATGAAAAACCTTAAAAAATTAATTAGATTCCTATAAGGTCGCTGCCAAATGGTTGGATAAAGCTTGTCGCATAAATATGTTGAATAACTACATAGAAATGTCGACATAAAATCTGAAAAATATGTTATATTTTAAAATTTATATATTTCACCTTATTTTGTACCTAGTTCGTGTATTTTGGTTCCAATGAGAACAATGTTCTATGAATTTTAGGATGTGTTGTAGATGGCAGGTTTATATTTATTGAACTATAAAAACATGTCTTACATATATTAATAACTTAGTTGTTTACATGTATTAATAACTTAGTTAATTGTAATTACGATTAATTAGGAACTGGATTTTATTTCTTACTATATTTTCATAAATTTTGCATATTGCTATAATCTAGCTGTCATTGACTGTCAAATTGATTTTGACAGTACATACGCTGTCTAGATTGTCAATGTACCTATCTAACCTACATAGTTACGATAGCTCATATGATTTATTTGTAAAATTTTCAATTCAATTTTTTATTTTAATAAATTAATATATATATATATATATAAATAATAAGAAATTTTGTACCATTTTCATAATTTTATACATACATTTTTATTCTGTCTTTGAATAAATTCGTTAGTTAGGTAAGTATTATTAAATATATTTTTTTATATTTCCAAAATAGTTATCCACTGTCTAATATTATTCAAAATATTTATACTTTGTTCTACTTTCTTTATTAAAGTGCTTTTATTATTTGTACACGCGATTATCTTGAAACTTTATCTTCAAATTGTTTTATTTCAAGAACTCGCATCTCAAACTGAATCTAAATTGCTAACATTTGGGGGGAAGGGATTGTTAGCAATGGAGTTTGACAGCCCCATTGCTATCAATATGCCCTATCAGGTTAACATCCAATTTCACAAATTAGTGAAACACAACTATGTAAGCTCAGCTGTTTGCAGGAACACATTGTTTTGTACATTTTATTAAATGAATGAATGGTTTCATAAAATGTATTATATTTTAAGGTAATAACTACCAATTTAACTTACGTGTAATTTAAGGTCTAGAAAACTCAAATAGTTTCGGGATCATTTGCTCACACTTGTGTCATAGCTGCTTAAGATTAAGGGTTTCGAACAGTCCTGAAACTAGTCAAGCTTATTTGACCAAATTTCACATACGTTAAACTGGTAGTTATTACGTTTAAAATATAACTTTTTATCCTAAAATATAAGAAGTTTTATATTTTTTTTTTAGGTCATAAATACTAAATGGAGGACACAGAGTTAGACTCCTCTGAGTTGGGAACCTATGACTATTGGAAGAAGACGTATGCAATTGAGGTAAACAACTATGAAGAAAATGGGGACCCGGGAGACGTGTGGTTTGGCGAGGACAGTGCTCAGAGGGTTATAGACTGGATCTGTAGTTGTGGAGTTAGTCTGGACACCCCTCTTATTGATTTAGGTGAGAAAATAAATGTTTCCTTATGGTTTTTACGTGTTTTAAACATTTATTATTGAATTTACCAGTGGGAGACTTTGTACAAAAGTCAATTGCTTGGGTACCTCTGTCCCATTCGTGTTTCAACCGTGAAGCAGTTGTGTGTGAATTTACTGGGTACAGAGGAATAACACCTGAGTCCTCAGGAATGGCAACGCATGGGGGGTATCATGGGTGAAACAGTATACTCTGTTGTGGTGCCCCCTTCCTTTAGCGTTTGAGAAAAACTGTTATAACTACTAATACATTTTTTGTGACCATTTGTTAATATATAATCCTTTAATAAATTTAAACTTTTCATTATCTAATAACTGATAACCTTCATTTGTGACATAAAACGGAAACATAATATTTAACTAGGAAAGACTACGACTTTACACGGCGTGCTTTCTTTTCTGAGAAAGAATCTATTAGCTCCTCAAAGTCCGTCGCATAGACAGTTTGTTTTCAATCGCTAGGATCGGGAGGTCACTCTAGGAGGTGCGCGCACGTATCCGTGCCCTCCTGTGATGGTAGGGTGGGAGGGACATTCCCCGCCCTAACTAAGAGAGGAGGCCTGCCCTACACCACCTACAGGGCGGGCCGTCGCGTTGGATACTCGGTAGTCGTACAAACGGGAACCCGGGATCCAACATAAGCGCCTCGAGGTACGTCGTGTGGTTTTTAGTGGGTACGAATCCCACACACCCCAGCTGTCCTCCCTCTGGCAGATGGGACGGTCTTTCCGAACATTTTCCACACGGAAAAAGAAAGGATCGCGAGGCCAGGTAGACGATCCTGACTCATTATTCGATATTTGGAATTCTTGTCTCAAGGATTTTGGCGCCCCCATGAAACTGCCCTGCAAGTACCCTGGTTTGCCCCTCCTTTAGATACGGGGATGAACGCCTGCAATACCAGGGGTATTACGCGTGCGTTGCCGACCCTGAAGAAACCTCTTTACCCCTTTTTAAAGAACCCCATGCTGTAGTCTCTTGGGAGAACCTCGGCAGGCAGCTCATTCAATATCCTCAGTGTAAATACATCAATGTGTATGTTTTCCTTTGGTGTAATTTCAAAATTTCCTTTTCAGGTTGTGGAAACGGTTATTCTTTGATGGAATTGGCCAGACAAGGGTTCACCAACTTACTGGGAGTAGATTACTGTGAGGAGGCCATAGTGTTAGCTGAGAAAGTGACTAAAGAGGAATTTTCCATAATTAAATATAAGGTAATCATTCAGTAATGCTTTCGGGGCCACTAGTACCCATTATATTATTTTTATTTGATATACATGAATTTGAATATATACCTATATTGTTTATGTTAAGAGATGACTAAGTGACTGTAATATTTGTTTTATGCTTGATTTAATTTATATTTTATGTACTGTATGAAATTATTGTATCTACTATAATATTCAAATACATATTTTTGTTTATGAATAAATAAAATAAAAAAAAAATACCAATCCCCTTCCACTCCCCCCCATTTGAAGGCATCTATCAACTTATTGTTGCAGTGATCATAACTTTCATATTCTTTTTCTTTAACTGGGTGGTAGATTACGTTCAAAAATGCTTACAATCTTCTATACTTATAATAAATCTGTAGAGAGGTCAATTCTGTACATTAAATATATTTCCAAAATAACTATCAGGCGGTGATTAGTGATCGATACTAATGCCAAAAATGCAATCAGTAAAATTTTTGTTTGTCTGTCTGTATGTTCGTTATAGATACAAAAACTACTCGACGGATTCTAACGATACTTGGTACAATTATTCCTCATACACCCGGGCAGGTATACTTTTCATCACGCTACGATCAATAGGCGCAGAGCATTGAAGGGAAATGTTAAAAATGTCCACCCGTGCGACGCCGGGACGGGCCGCTAGTTAATAAATATTTACGTAATATTTTTTTATACAACTTAAAATGGCAAACAAGCTGACGGCCCACCTGATGGAAAGTTGTAACTGTCGCCTGTAGACATGAACAGTACCGTGGACATAACAGAGTATACTGTTTCGCCCATGATACCCCCCATGCGTTGCCATTCCTGAGGACTCAGGTGTTATTCCTCTGTACCCTGTAAATCCACGCCATATCCCACCGTTCAAACCGAAACACAGCCATGCAAACACAACTGCTTTACGGTTGAAACACGAATGAGACAGAGGTACCCAAGCAATCGACTTTTATACAAAGTCTCCCTCTGGTAAACCTCCACGCGATTCCCCCTGGAAACCATCGTGTTTAATTCTAGTAGGAGGGGCTAACTGACCTACTTTCATCCTCATCTGTCATCTCTCACTGGTGCCTTGCCAGTGTACACCGATAGTGCAAACGGAGTTACCATACCATTGTCACCTATTTAAAAAAAAAACTGTATAATATAAAAATACATGTGATCCCACATGGTAACTATTTAAGTATGGACTTCTAAAATTATTGATTACAGGTTTTTGATATAATAAATGATGATGTGTCAGATTTGGGGACCAACTTTGGTATAGTACATGATAAGGGAACTTACGATGCAATCAGTTTGAATCCAGATAACCCAAAGGAAAATAGACGGAAATATCTAGAACAAGTGACTAAGATTCTCTGTGATAATGGTGAGTTGATTATTTTAGCACTTAATTGTCTCTGTCTGGGCTTGTCGTGAAAATAGACAGTGTTTTTTTTTCGTACGATTCTGTATGAATTTGTATGCATGTAAAATGGCGCGAAAATAATCGATTACATAACCTATTTAAACTTTTGCATTCTTAGTAATTTACTATATATATATATATATATATATATATATATATATATATATATATATATATATATATATATATATATATATATAAATCTAATTAAGCATAAATATAGTAAAAACTCAACTTCCAAATTATGTTAATATTTTTATTTTATCCAATGTTGATTATATACTTTTTTTTCCAGGGCTATTCATTATAACATCGTGTAATTGGACAGATCAAGAATTAATTAAGCAGTTTTCGGAGAAGATGAAGTTAAAGTGTGTAATACCAACACCGCAGTTCAAATTTGGCGGGAAAGTGGGCAGTGTTGTCTCGTCTGTTGTGTTTATAAAAAAATAATGTGCATATAATTGGTTTTATTATTAGTTCCTTAGATATTATATTTAGATGGAATATTACGGTATGATTATGAGTACTTATCACATTCTTCATATGAGCTCTTAATTGTCCACTGCTGAACATAAGCCTTACCCAGATGGAGTTTTGCCAGTAATTTCTTCGCTTAGCAATCGCGTCTGCAGATAAGGTTTTAGTGATGTTTTAAGGGGGACACTGCCGCCACTCCTTCACTCTTCCGTCGCCTCTTACGACACTTATGGGAAAGGAAGGAGTGACTCATTATTTTTATTTTTATACAACTTAGAATGGCAAACAAGCTGACGGCCCACCTGATAGAAAGTGGTAACCGTCGCCTATAGACATGAGCAGTACCATGCACATAACAGAGTATACAGTTTCGCTTATGATACCCCCCATGCGTTGCCATTCCTGAGGACTCAGGTGTTATTCCTCTGTACCCAGTAAATTGACGCCATATCCCACCCTTCAAACCGAAACACAGCCATGCAAACACTACTGCTTCACGGTTGAAACACGAATGGGACAGAGGTACCCAAGCAATCGACTTTTGTACAAAGTCTCCCTCTAGGTAACTCATTCTATGCCGGGACCTACACGGCGACTTATGACATTTTTTTGCTTTAATTAATTAATACATTAGCTTAAAAAAAACAGTACCAAAACTTTAATAAAAAAAAAAAATTAGAAAAAGTAAAGTGTATACAGTTTAGCAAAAATTTTGCATATTTTACTATAGGTATATTAGCAATGTATTTGTCAATAAGAATACTTTGAGTTTACATATTTTTAAAAGTAGGTATTAATGTTTATTCAAAATATGCCGATTTGTCTTTCCAAAGCCTAATCAATTAAAAATAAACGTGCTAGAAATGACAGAGGATTATATTATCTGTGACAGATCCATCAACTTTCAAAATGTTTGACAGCTGTCTAAATTATACTCTGTACGTTATAGGATGATGTAGATGATAGCTGATATTTTTTTAGGATTATAAACGTAATTTTTTTGCGACATTTTTAAAGCGAAAAACAATTTATAACAATAAAAAATATATATAATTAAACAATCAAAATATTTAGTTAAATCTAAAAATTGCGTATGTCAGTATTTTTTTTTTGTTTTAGTAGTTTATCACACGCATCATGCTTTACTCGTATACTATTAATGATTTGACTTTTGACTTCATCGTAATTTCTTATCAAAAGTTTCAATTTTATCAAAACGCTTTTATCAATATTGATAAATGCAGTTAACAATTTATTTTCCAGCCGTGTAATATGTATTTGTTATTAGAAATTTAGATTAAGCATAGTACCTATCTACGTCTTATAGTGATATTTTATATTAGTTTTAATTTTTTAAGTTTCGAACCAAGAACACTGGCTAGAATCCTTAAATATTGTTTAATTACCTTAAAAATGACGGCGCCAACACCCGTTAAGTCATCGTGTATATTCTGCAACATCGTGAACAAATTGGAGAATACCGAAATATTATATGAAGATAATGAAATATGCGTATTCCGAGATATAAAGCCAGCTAGTCGTTTTCATATACTTACCGTTCCAAAACGGCATATTCAAGATGCTAAATCGCTTACTTCGGCCGATAAAGAGTTAGGTAAGCAGTTTACACTTAAAAGAATATGAATGAATGGTTTTGCAGTTCATGTAAATATCTAGTATGTATGTAAGTTTTTAATACTACAATAATATGAATGACCAAATGGATTTGCATGAATGAAATATCTTTATAATTCTTAAATCATCCAGAGAGACACTGGTTATATATTTTTTTAAATAGTTGGTTTAAGTCTATGATTTTTCTTAGGGCTGGTATTTTTTTTTTCACTTTATGCAGAAAAATATAACTTTTATTAGTGGTAGTGCTGAAGATATGGAGGTTTCAAGATACTGAATTACAGTACTTATTATCTAACAAAGATTACATAGGGAAAAGGTTTTTTATAATCCATAATACTATACTAATAATATATTTATATTATTAGTATAGTATGTCATGTCATGTCTATAGGCGACGGTTACCACTTTCCATCAGGTGGGCTGTCAGCTTGTTTGACATTCTAAGGTGCATAAAAAAAATTATTCTGTCTGGGTGTATTCTACTACAAAAATGTCTGTATTTCCAAAAAAATACCAATAAGTATGTCTTATCAGTTGTCTATTATTCATAGTACAAACTCTGCTTAGTTTGGGTTTTTTTTATACAACTTAGAATGGTAAAATTAGAAACACGAATGGGACAGAGGTACCCAAGCAATCGACTTTTGTACAAAGTCTCCCTCTGGTTTAGAGGGTGCTTTATTTATTTATTTAAACTTTAATGCACATTAGAATTCTATGTACATTTGACGGACTTAACACCGGACGGTGTTCTCTACCAGTCGACCATTGGGCAAACCGAGAAATAAGTAGGCGGTGCATTGTTGTATAGAGGACAGAATAAAGCAATACTTGATATATTCATTAATATAAACATATAATTAGACTAATATAAACATACACCTAATGTATTAAATAAATGAATACATAAAATATTACTATATATATATATAAAACTTTATAATGTGCTAGTATTTACATGTTTCCAGTGTCCAACATGCTGTCCGTAGCCAAAGAAATGCTGAGCAAAAACAATCTGTCAGTTGAAGATGCGAGGTTTGGGTACCATTGGCCCCCATTCACAAGTATCAAGCATTTGCATTTACACACCATAGCGCCAGAGTCTGAAATGGGATTTATAGGGAAATTGATATTTCGGAAGGATTCATATTGGTTTGTTTCTGTATGTATCTATTTTGTTTTTTTTTATGCAACTCAGAATGGTAAACAAGCTGACGGTCCACCTGATGGAAAGTGGTAACCGTCGCCTACAGACATGAGCAGTACCATGGACATAACAGAATACACTGTCAAACCGTTGGGTTTTTTTAATGGGTGAAAATGATAATGTAACCCCGCCTGCGCTAACGGGATACGCTGGCGGAGCACCAGTGAAGGGTGATAGATGAGAATGAAAACAGGCCACCATGATAGTTTCCAGGGAGAACCGCGAGGAGGTCGATCTGGTTGGGTATATTGTTAGCAATATGTCAGTTAGACCCGACTACGTACGCGACTGGCGGAGATTTATTTGAGATCTTAACAGAACTTGAACTCGACGCGCAGTTTGATGACAAAACTGTTTTTACCTACCTCCGGATTTGATCGGAAATACGGATAGGGAAGGAGGGTAGAAGGATATTGCGACATTGCGTTCGGAAACGTTAAATTTGTATCAACTAATCGGCCTGATACCACACGTCCAGTCGTGGACACGACGTGGTGCAATCCACATCGAAAAGTCGGCAATAAAAATCACGTATTATTACCTGTAATTTTTTATTGCATTATGTCCCGATAGCATATTTGAAATATAGAACGTATCTATTTTTTTAGGATTTATTTTTTTCTTCTTTTTTTAATGGCAACACACGAGCTCCTCATTTGAGGATATTTTTGCTAGCATCTAATTAGATACTGGTAAAAATATTAGGCATTGGAAAAAGTAATTATTTTATTATTATTGAAAAATTTTTACTTGTTCACAAATGCACCAGGAATTAACTACAATGGTTTCCAGGAATTCGTGGAGATCGATCTGACAGTGTATATTGCTGGCAGTGGAGCTAGCTTACCGTTACAAACCCCTTCACCCACACTTAATTTTTTCTGTATTTTTATTTTACTTTACAATAATAGGAGAACTTAAAACTAGTTGGTAGGAATACATTCGGTACAATAGGTAATCGATGAACATTAACAAGTTTTTACTTATGGCAAGAAATTTAGTAGGCATTTTTGGGAAGATTTTATAAAACGCAATTTAAAAAAATAACATAATTATATTTCTGTTTTTCTCTTTCCAGCCGGAATATGTGGAATCAAGACTATGATGAACAAGATACTGTATAAATATATTTGCTTAGATAAATATATCTTTGGAATTCTCTATGGAGAGTCAAGTATTAGAAAATGGTCCAAAAACGGTCAACCTACACTAACGTATAAGCTGACAGATATTGTTTTTAAAATAAAACATTACGCGCCATTTCCCAGTGTTGCAAGTAATTCAATTAAAAATTCCCCAGATCAGTTGACTTTTTACATATTGTATACGAATTAATTAACATGTTTTAATCAAAATGGGATACAATTTCAGTGATCGTGGTAATGAATATAATATTTATTTATTTATTTAAACTTTAATGCACAGTAAAATTCTATCTACATATGGCGGACTTAATATTCAAATTTACACAATTTTGTACAACAATTAGTCCATTGCCTTAAGGTTGTCTTGAAAATATTAGCTAACGATAATAACGACAGCAATAAAACCGCCTTACTGTACTTATACAATTGTATCGTTGTGTTTGTAAATTGTCTTGCTTATTTCCTATATTGTATAATGCAAATAAAGTATACTCATTCATTCATTCATTTATTCTCAGAAATGTAGATGGGAGAATTTTGTATTGTTTTTATTTTTCAATTTAACATTATATTTTATTGTATGGTATTTATATGGTATTTACTTGTGTTGACCAACTATGTAAAGGTTTACTATAAATATTATTTCTTTATAAATAAATTATTTTTCTTTGTAGAATTTTATATGTGTATGATTGGAGTTTAGAAATAAACGTTTATTATTATGGTTTAAATATTTTTTTTAATTACACCATAATTTATTATATTATATTCTGGGTTCGTCCATCGGTTGTAGTAATTATACAAAGTTCGTATTTTTTTTATGCGACTTACAATGTCAAACCAGCTGACGGCCCACCTAATAGAAAGCGGTAACGTCGCCTATAGACATGAGCAGTACCATGGACATAACAGAGTATACTGTTTCTCCCATGATACTCCTCATGCGTTGCCATTTCTGAGGACTCAGGTGTTATTCCTCTGTACCCTGTAAATTCACTTTCATGTCCCACCCTTCAAACCCAAACACAGCCATGCAAACACAACTGCTTTACGGTTGAAACACGAATGGGACAGAGGTACCCAAACAAACTGCTTTTAAAATATACCAGAGAAATTAAAATTTTTAGCGTTTTTTTAATGGAATGTTCTACCAGCGTTCAACCAGTAAATCTTTTTATCAAAGGAACGTGGGTCGAAAAAAGACATTTCTCTTGCCTTTAAAGTTAGTACTTGAGGCTCAACATTGTTGGAGTTTTTAAATGTTATTCACTAAAATGTCTGTATATTTTATACTAAGAGTGGCCAACCGGTCGATTATTAATCCAGTCCATCGTGGCAAGGCAAAAAAATATAATATTTTGCTAATCTAGCGGAAGATGCTCGGACGCAATGCTCACACTAATATAAAATATGTATATATATAAATAAGTCCCCTACTTATTTTAGGAAAAGGATTGTTAGTAATGGAGACTGAGAATCCCATTGCTAGCTATATACCCAACCAGGTGGACTTCCTCGCGGTTCCTCCTGGAAACTATCGTGGTTAATTCCTGATAAATTCATCATGATGGGCTAACTGGTCTGTTTTCATTCTCATCTATCACCCTTCACTGGTGCTCCGCCAGCGTATCCCGTTAGCGCAGGCGGTGCTACCATACCATTTACACCCATCAAAAAAAAATATATATAAATAAGTAGTTACTATGAATAAATACATAATACATAATTGTGTACTAAACTAAAAAAAAAAATAAAAAAATGTCGTTTCATTTGTGATTTCAAGAAGAATGTAATTGGTAGATCATACAGGATTTCCTCAGTAAACAATAGAATTTTTTTTAATAGATGATAATGGAATGGTAACCCCACTCGCGCTAACGGTATACACCGGCGGGGCACCAGTAAGGTATGATAGGTGAGGATAAGAAGACTGGTCAGTTCGTGATAAATACACCAGGAATTCAGCACGATGGTTTCCAAGGGGACGTTTACCTGACAGGGTATATTGCTAGCAATGGGGCTATATGTAGGTGGGATATGGCAGTTAATTTACATAATACAGAGGAATAACACCTGAGCCTTCAGAAATGGAAACGCATGGGAGGTATCATGGACGAAACAGTATACTTGGCTATGTCCATAATACTGCTCATGTGTATAGACGATAGTTACCACTTTCCATCAGGTGGGCCGTCAGCTTGTTTGCCATTCTAAGTTGCATAAAAAAAATAGATATTTACTTGTTTGCTACTTACATAACTAGTGTAATTTCTCATTTTACATTTAATATAAAATTGTTCCAATCTGTCCATTCACTCTAATAATAATTAGGTAATTAAGATAAAATTATTAGTTTAAATAGATTAGAGTTTTCGATTGATAACTACCTACCTAATCATGTCAACCGCTAGTTATCAGTGGTGTTGCCATCATTAAAATTATTACATGGCGTGTAACTTTATTTTACATTTTTAACTAACAGATGCCCAAAGAGGGCGGTTGGCAAGAACTGTGACAGGGTTTTTTTTTATGTGCCTCTAAGTTCATCATAAATACAAATTTCTTAATGAAGAACATTTCCGAAGTAATGTAATTGTTTCTAATGTAAATTAGACTGACAAACTAGCCAATGACTGATGAAAAGGTAAAAATAATTAAGGTTTTGTTAATAATAGTTTAGGAGAAAATAAATAAAGAATGCAACATTTCGGGTACTAACGAAAAATTTATATAAATGCAAATTTCTCGAAAACTATAAATTTTTGCAGAAAATACATGGGGGTGTTTAGAGAAGCCCTTGGACCCGTCTATCGATGGTTTTCGTTTGGACCACATGAAACCCGACACCCTGTATATTCCGCCTACAGACATGAACAGTACCACGGACATTATAGAGTTATACTACGAGTATGATGCCAATAATATTGCTCATGCGTAACCATTCCTTAAATTGTTCAATTTTTCTTTCAGAATACTTTTAATAACTCATTAAATATACTTTTTTTCTTTATAAGAGAACGCTAATCTCTTGCGTGCATGCTGGCCAGGCGGTTTTGGGTAAAGTTTAGTTTTTTCACTGTGCTGCCACCACTAAAAGGCATCGAAAGCCTTGTACTACTTTCCAGGAATAGAAAGTGGTTAAAGTCTTTTCGAAGGAAATGGATAGGGCTTACGCTTACAAAGTTGTCCATAAAATTAGTCGATTAATAAATAATAATATGAGACATGGGGCATGATAGATGTGTAAAAATAATCTAAACAATAATAATATTTTTTTTTTTTTTACAACACAGGGGGCAAACGAGCATGCGGCTCACCTGATGGTAAGTGACTACCGCCGCCCATGATCACCCACAACACCAGCGGCATTGCAGGTGTGCTGCCGGCCTTTTAAATAAAACAATATGTCCAAATAAGTGACAGAAAACTTTTTGTTTTTGTTAAATATTGATTTTAGCAAAAAGGCATTTCTGTAAATTATCTAGTATAGTACTCGTAGTACAAATTCTGTTTAGTATGGGTTATGGGATTCTGAAATCTGGTAAGTCCTTTAAATATTCTATCATATAACCCTTTTCGAGGAAGAGGAAACAATAGATACTGAATCACTAGGATGCAGATTACCTTTTCCGTTTGCTAATATATCCAAAAAACATTGACCAAAATATTAACATATTCTTTAACTTTTGATGCAAACCGGATGGTCATTTTAAAAAGTTGAAATGGATTTTTAAGTTTTTTTTGTAGTAAATTGACCAAATGGTAAATTTAGTATTAAAGGCTTAATAATTGTCTTTATAATATTTTATTCTCTTCACGATTAATAGAATGTAAATATAAACGAGTACGTTGATTGAAACTTAATAGAATAACTTATTAATCTAAATAACAAAATAATAATTAAGGGGTGAAAGGGATTGTTAGTAATGGAGACTGAGAATCTCATTACTAGCAATATACCCAACCAGGTCGACCTCCTCGCGGTTCTCCCTGGAAACTATCATGGTTAATTCCTGATGAATTCATCATGATGGGCTAACTGGCCTGTTTTCATTCTCATCTATCACCCTTCACTGGTGGTCCGCCAGCGTATCCCGTTAGCGCAGGCGGGGTTACCATACCATTTTCACCCATCAAAGAAAAAATTAACATCTTTTTTTACTATAGTTCATAAATCAGTGCTTTTATTTTATTTGGGATAACAACAGCTTTTTACAACATTGAATACATATTAAATTACATTTACTACATATTAGCCAATTATAGTTATCCACAGCGCAAAACATAAGCATCCGTTAAGCGAATAAAACCATATTCTATAACAATAATAAGTGTTTATACTAAGGAAGCATATGTAATTCAAGTGGACGATATCTTGGAAAATAAATTGTAGAACTCTGAAATCGATTAAGATGATGATATTGTTCGTTATTTAATGAAAGTCAGCAGAGGGCGCCCTAATCGAAATTACCTACGTATTTTTTTTAATGTAATAAATAAAAATATACACTGGTATCATTTTGTAACTTAAATGTCAAGTGAAAAAAAGTCAGTGTCAGGTCAGTGTATCAAATCAAAGTCCTTTCTTGTTTTTATTTTACCTACACAATTGATTAATATTAAAAACGATATTTATCCACTAAATCTATGCTGTTGCTTCAGCTGATTAGTTAATCTAGACATAATTATTTAAAATGGCGACGCCGGCGGACGTGCGAGCGCTTTTCGAAGCTAAATTACAGGAAGGAGTACCGAACCCACCGGGTGAATTTAACCCCGTCGATTTGGAAAGAGTTAAAAATGACAGATACATGAAGAGGTTGCTGGCGCACAATGGGAAACAACCGCAAGCGGCCGCAGATATGCTGTGGGACATTTTGGTATGGAGAAAAACCGTGGGCGCCAGCGATATTACCGAAAATTCTATACGTATGGACTACATTAAGGATGGGACATTTTACCCTAGAGGTAGAGATATCGACGGCTCCCTTCTATTCGTTCTAAAGGCGAAACTTCACGTTAAAGGCCAGAAGGATTTGGAAGAGTTGAAGAAGATTATAATATATTGGTGCGACAGGATCGAGAGAGAGGAGAACGGGAAGCCGATTACACTCTTTTTCGATATGGACGGCTGTGGGCTTAGCAACATGGACATGGAGTTGATTAAATACTTAATAAATATGTTTAAATACTATTATCCAGCGTTTTTGAATTCAATAGTCATATATCAGATGCCGTGGGTCCTGTCTGCTGCTTTCAAGGTCGTGAAGTCACTGTTACCAGCGAAGGCGGTGGAACGCATGAAGTTTATATCAAAGGACACTTTGAAAGATGTGGTACCACCTGAACTGGCTGAGGCTATGAGCAGTAAGGAGGAATTTAAGTATGAGTTTGTACCAGAGAGTAGAAGTAATTCGGAACAAACGCCGAAGAAAGTGACTTTTGCTGAGCAAGGACAGGACAACCAGACTGCTAGTCAGCATTCACCCGGTGAGATGTTGAGGTTAAATCCAAGTGAAACAATAATATTCAAGCATGATAATGATGATGTCTCCGGTCAATTCACTATAACGAATATGGATGCGAGCGCTATATCATTCAAAATTCGTACAACGTCACCCGAGAAGTTCCGTGTTCGTCCAAGCTCAGGTGTGTTACCGAGTGGTTCGTCACAAGTTGTGCTAATTGTAGTCCAACCGGGATTCCAGTTACGTACCGTCTTAAAGGATCGGTTTCTAGTTATGTCCGTGCAGATTCCTAAAACGGATTTGCTACCGAACGAGTTAGCTGACATATGGCAGAATTCGATGGGCAGCAAAGTTGATGAGTATCGTTTGAAATGTCATTTCCCAGAGAAAGAGAGGAACGGAACCATATCGGACGGTAAGTCTCAGGATAAGCACGATTCAGTTACTAACGCATTAAATAATTTGCAATCCAAATACGAATTGTTGCACAGAGATGTGAGAAAGTTGAAGATCTTCCAATTCTTTACCTTGTTCTTGACAGCTGTCTCTGTCGTGCTAGGTTACTTGGTGTATTTACATACAAGCACAAACGAGAGGTACTGTGAACGTATGTAGCCCTTGAATTTCGTGGTTATGAACACCACATTGGAAGCGGACACGCTACTAAACACTCTGTTGCTTATCGTGCTAATGATTAATACTGTTATGTTTGTTATATACTGCCATTTGGTACGTAAAGTTGAAATTTTGCATGCCATCAAGTAAAATGCATTTTATATGAGCGTTATAGAGATGATTTTTATTATAATTTTTTTTTTAATATCTTGGTGTCACAGTTGCTTATTTCTTTACTTCATAAGTGTGAGATCAAGAAATAAGGACAGAAGTTCCATAATATACACATCACATTTAGATATACTATAGTTATAAAAAATAATTAGAAAAAAAGAAAGTTTTTTTTTATAACAGGATTTCTAAAGCAAACATAAATAAAAGGACAATAGATTTTTTTTTTAAGTAATTGTATACGTAAGTTAAAATACAAAAAAAAAATCTAAGCTGTGTAAATATATTCTATTTAACTGTCTAAAATACCATTAATTATTTTTTTTTATTATCGGCCTTTTAATATAGAAGTATGCCAGTATAAAAATCTCTTTTATTTATTTTTTCTATTTCTTAAATCCTCTTAAAAAAAAAAAAAACTTTTTTTTTTCTTTTAAGTCTCACATAGTCATAGTGCAATAAGAAAATGTAGATATATTATACATTCAGTCAGCTATTTCACTGTGAAATGACCATTTATGTTAAATGCAAGATTCCTATTTATTTTTATAGCTGTCATCCCTATATTGGGTATTCAACTTTAACACTATATTGTTATGGTTTATTGTATATACAGCACAAACACGACAATACCACTTCTTTTGAACAAATACTGGCCACGGTCAAAGTATATAGTTGTTTTCCATGACCCTGATAAATGTAACTACCTACTTTGTTTACCTATGTCACCGATTCTCAATGTTTTCGCGCCAAAAGTCACGGGTCGATTGTCAAGCTCCATTTCTCTTAATTAATATTTTATTATCTAATATTTAGCGAAATTACAGTTTTGAAGATTTAATTTTGACTTAAATGTATCAGAAAATTAGTTCATATTGATTTTTACCATAATGCTTTTGGTTTTATATCAAATATTAATTTTTGAAATAGATTTAGTAAATGGCGCTTAAGAATTGTCCGCCATGTCCCTTTTGAAGCGTTCACTGTCAAAATAACTTTTGGCGACAAAATATTCACTTTTCACAAATGTCTTTATCGAATTATTTCTAGTAATTACGACTATTATTTATTAGTTTTTTTTTCTTTTCAATTTGGCGCCACTTTCAAATTAAGTTTTTTTTTTCTCAAATAGAAATCGGTCGCCGTATTTACGACCATTGCTGCCAGTATAATGTAGGTATTAGAGACTCATATCGAAAGTTATTATTTTTTCTAAAATCATAACAATTACGCATTATCCTAATTACTATCTTCGAATTATGTTATTTTGTACGGGAACATTATTCTATACATTTTTTTTTTAAATATGGTTTAGGTACAACATTATTAATAAGTTACCATTAATATAAACAGGCGTAATTATAAAAAAATCCTAGTATGCTTTTTTTTTAATTAATTGTGTAATTTAAAAATATAACAGACCAAAAAGTAGTTATATGCATTAATGTCAACTAATTTATATATATAAAAAAAAAAAAACTTTTTATTTCACTATTGTAAAATTTACCCAAATATAGGAAAATAGATTATTATCTATTTATCTATTAATCTCTTCGAAGCTTCAATATAATGAAAAAACAAAAAAAAAGGAATTTATTTTTGTTTATTTCTCATGAATTTGAATACATATTATATATATATATATCTATTTTTCATGTTTCTTTAAACATGTATTAGTGTAATTTGTATGGAAAACGCAATTGCGCCTCTGGCGGATGGTTTCGGAAACTCATTCTATCATTGGTATACCTATTTAAAATTATTTTGGGGTTCTTTTATATAAGATTTTCTATTGGATGGTTCCAAGCAAAGGCTCATTGTACTCCCAAATTTTTAAAGATAGTTTGAAGTAACATTTCTAATTTGGCTAGTATAATAGAATAGCATAATAAGACATTATGTATTTACTTGAAGTGACAGATAACACGTGACCTTGTCCTGTATGAATTATAACCCACATAATCGCAATGGTTTGGCTAGTATATGTGTGTGTGTTTTTTTAACATATCTGTATATTACAAGAGAATAAAAACAAAAATTATAATAAATTATTGCTATATTAGTATAAAATAAAAATACTTGCCAATTTAGAAATTTTGCCTCAAATTATCTTTAATTACAAACAACAAAACATCAACAAAAATCACAAGTCTCGATACTAGCGCCATCTATTTCGTGCCTAATTTTGTTTAGTCATCTTAGTTCTTGATTTTTTCACGATGATTGATGATTTTTTTTAGCACGTTGTAGATTATAATGACGTAAACCCAATAAATACAATGACGTAGTTAAGATTAATGTAAATTGAATTTGTAAATAACTTATAAATTGTTTAATTTACGCGTAAGATTATCGTCCGTTTGGATTTCATAGGAATTGTTTTTTTTTAATGTCCGCTACTGGGATCGTTACAAAGTGCAGCTTTTTAATTTCGGTATCTGTTATGTATTGAAATAACTTATAGTAATGTACTCTAATGTCTATTAATATTATAAATGCGAAAGTTCGTAAGGATGGCCATAAAGATGGTCCTTTGGTACTCTTTTACTTAAAAAAAAATTTAAACGAATTTGAATGAAATTTGGTACAGGGGTAGATTGTATCCTAACTTAGCATGCAGCGGCGTGATACAGATAGTTCATTTGTATTTCAACTGTGAAGCAGTTGTGTTTGCATGGCTATGTTTCGGTTTGAAGGGTTTCTTTTTCTATGGATGATAATGGAAGGGCAACCCCGCCTGCGCTAGCGGTATACGCTGGCGGGGTGATACGAGTGAGGGGTGATAAGTGAGGATAAAGGGGCCAGGTCAGTTAGCCCATCATGATGAATACACCTGGAATTCAACACGATAGTTTTCAGGGGGAACAACGTGGAGGTCGACCTGATAGGGTATATTGCTAATGGGGGGGGGGGGGAGGTATTGTTAGCAATGGGACTGATAGTCCACATTACTAACAATTGATTGATTTTTTTCTTTCTTCTACAATAAATCTTGTACATAGCATATATTGTCATAAACCTAATAGTAATTAAAAAATATTGAGCATATTTTCTTCTCTCTAATTGCATTGGGTTGGCTGGAAGAGATCTCTTTCAGAGGTAACCCCACCCTTGCTAACAAGTTGTTAAACTGATCGCTGTATCTTTTGTTCAAGTGCAATAAAGAATATAAAATATATGTAACTTAAATGTATTTTGATCATTGTTTATTAATCAAATCTACGATTAAGTTATCATTTTATAAATTAACCTCGTTCCCAATTCCTTTTCACCGTCATTATAACTATTATGAAGTAGTAATCAAATACTTAAATAAATTTCCCAAAACATATAATGTAAATAATAAATTTTGGCCATTTTGTCTCAAATTAAGCAAAGCTTGTACTATGAGTACTAGACAATTGATAGAAAATATTTCTTTTTGCTCGTGCGGTATAGATTGCGCTACCTCTTCCTTTCTCGAGAGTGTCGTAAGAGGCGACTAAGGGAACTTAACGATCGAGGAATAGGTAATAGCGTCTTTTTTAAAATATCTCTAAAAGCCTAACTGCGGTTGCCAACCCATCAACTGTCTATTGCTGAATATAAGCCTTTCTATAAGGGAGATATTGGCGTTACCATGCTTGACAGGCGGATTGGCAACCGTAGTTAGGCTATGGTGAGGTTTTAAGAGAAACGTTACTACTCATCCCTCGATCATTAAGTTCCCTAAGTCGCCTCTTACAACACCTACGAGAAAGGAAGGGGTGGTCCATTCTATGCCCGGACTATACGCCACATAAATGTAATAAATAATTTTGCTAAGTTTCAAAGATGTAGTAGATCTTTCTAAACTGATAGCTATTTTTAATGTACTTATATCGTTTAAAGATAAATTATTCAACGTTAATATAATCCAATTTTTGGTTTGAAGATACAAGATATCCTGTTTACTTACTTATTTAATCAACAATCGCATTCACTGCGATAACATTTTATCGTATACAAATAGTTCAGGGCCTTTACGTATTTGTAGTCTGTAATTACTAGTTGCCACGGAATTAGTCACTTGTTTCATAAGCTAATATTAAAAAACAAGAACTTTTTATTACATGGAAGACGAAGGAAAAATTTTTTATATCTACTAGTCTTTAATATACTTTGTCTGCGTGCTTGGAATATGTTATTCGATTAGCTTAAAAGTAATACTTTCATATATATATATATATATATATATATATATATATATATATGTAAGTACATACAAACATCGTCATCTTAACCGTTATCTGTCCATTGCTGCATCATTTCGTAAAACTATGTATGTATTATATGGTATATAGAAAAAGGCCGGATTAAATCGAAGCATTTGGTGTTTTATTGTGTCTGCCTACACTAATGTCTATCCCATTCACAAGGGGTGGTTTAAAAGAAAAAAAAAAAAACAAGTTGGATAGCCTCTAAAGTTTAACTGAAAAGTTGTAAAATTAAAAATATGCATATTAATTAAATAAGTAACAAAATTAAAAGTTCAGACAGGTTTGTTTGCCATTTTCGTGGTATAAAAAAAGGTAATTTTATATGGGAATCGTTACTTAGTGTTACTGTTAATAGATGGCGCTGTAGGTCATGCGAAGTTCACCGGGTCATCTAGTTCATAAGATTGATATAGAATTATAGATTATTGTTGTTTGCTAATTGTGGCAAATGTTGCAAAACAGATAAGTTGTATAGGTAAATGGGTACTGTTCTAGTTAAAAATTGTTTTTTTTTTCATACTTTAATTTTTATAGGCGACGGTTACCACTTACCATCAGGTGGGCCGTCAGCTTGTTTGCAATTCTAAGTTGTATAAAAAAAAGGGCAATATTTGAGTACAGAGTGAAAATGAAATCACCTATATGGGATAAAATTTGATAACCTACCCGCGTATTAAATTTTATCCCAACCAAGTAGTTTTTCCATGAAAGAGTTACAAAAATCTATCCATCTTTACAAATTTTTGCATTTATCTACACTAATATTATAAAGAGGAAAGATTTGTATTTTTGTGTGTATGTATGTTTGTAATGAATAAACTCAAAAACTATTTTGCCGATTTCAAAAATTCTTTCACCATTAGAAAGCTACATTCACCCTGAGTAACATAGGCTATATTTATGCTGTGGTCTCTTGGGAAACCTTGGCAGGGGCGATAAGCGAAAGGTACGTACCATTGGACGGTGAACATCCCAGAATGCCCTCTCCTGGCTGTCCAGCACTTTACGCTCCAATTTATCGCGTTTTTTATCCACCTGTAGCAAGAGAGAATTTTTTTATTCGATTCAATTATATCTACACTAATATTATAAAGAGGAAAGATTTGTATTTTTGTATGTATGTTTGTAATGAATAAACTCAAAAACTACTTTGCCGATTTCAAAAATTCTTTCACCATTAGAAAGCTACATTCACCCTGAGTAACATAGGCTATATTTATTGCTAGATAAGATAAGCGATCTTTACTAAAACTTTAGTAACGTAACTCAAGGTGTAAAAAAATTGCTATAAAATATCTTTGGTCGCGTGCGCTGCGGAAACTTTTGGTGATAGAACAAAAGTATGTTCTACGATATTGAAGGAAATATCGATAACTACAGAAAACTTCACGATACTATATGTCCAACTATTATCGTTATGTCACAATAACCGCTTTTTAAAACGTTGTAAAAATGTCCACACGTGCGAAGCCGGGACGGGCCGTTATTTATATTATCTCTAATATATAAAATTCTCGTGTCGCGGTGTTTGTTACCAAACTCCACCGAAACGGCTTTACCGATTTTCATGAAATTTTGTGTGCATATTGGCTAGGTCTGAGAATCGGCCAACATCTATTTTTTACACCCCTCAATGATAAGGGTGACATACCCCTAAAAATTTTTTTTATATTTTTTGACAAACTTTTTAATTTTTATTTAAATATGATTTAGCATTGAAAAATACATACAACATCAAATTTTCACGCTTTTACGATCAACCATTGTTTTTTAACCGCGATTTTTATATTCCGCAATAGGGTTGCAAGATGACCAGCGAATATAATAATTGTAGTACGATATATTTTCATGTATAGTTCTAGAAATAATGTATATGGTAAAACAACGTTTGCCGAGTCAGCTAGTAATCGTATAAAATGTATTTATTAATTATTTTAACTATTTGCTGTACTATAATTATCTTATCTGAATAACTTTTTTAATCTAAATTCCTTTAATTGAGTAACAAACAATGAATGGGCAAAGATCACATTACAATTGTCTTTTTAATATAAACTAGTACATTACTGCAGCGGCCAGCAACTGAGGCATTGATGGACGATCGTGCAAATGTGGGCCGAGGCGTAGCCGAGGCACACATACGTAAGTCCATCAATGCCTAGTTGTGGCCAAGGCTTGTATAGTACTTTTCTCAAACAATGCGCGGAAATCAGAAACACAATTTTACTTTTTAAGTTCAATGACGAATAACGAACAGTAATAATTTTTTACGCGCCATAATGTTTTTTTGCTTTTTTTTTCAATAAACAGCTTTCTATTTGTAAGCCAGTTCGAAATTTAAATAAAACCTTTTATTAGTTACCTCCTTGGTAGCCATGTTTCGAAGGAAAAGGTCATTCCATTTTTAAATTACAGGACAGATATGAGTTTACATAGTAATTTATCTGGCCGCAAAACACGACAGATATGGATTTTCATGCAACTTTTGCCGGCCGCTGCCCGCATGTATCTGGCCAGTACGGCAATTTTGATTTATCTCGAAAAAGCTTGTCAAAATAATGCTCACATTTCCAAGCATGTTTGAGAAAAAGATGTTTATTTATTTATATGCGTTTATACATTCACTTCATCATCATCATACCAGCCTTTAACTGTCCACTGCTGAACATAAGCCTCCCCCTTGGGAGGGCTTTGCCAGTAGTTGCCACGCTTGGCAGGCGGATTTGCAACCGCAGTCGGGCTTTCAAATTGGTTAAGACGTTTCTGAGATTAGCGTACACAAACGTATAGACAAAAAGACAAATTCTAAAAATCATTGTTATGGGTTCTATTGCCTTCATAAAGCCCCCCCCCCCCCCCCTTATAAATAGTTTTTCTTATACATCTTCCACGTACAGACAGCGACCAGTTACGATTTTATTATATGTATTGATTGATATTACTGGTAAGCCCGTGTCCGTGTAACCCTCACCAGAGGGAGACTTTGTACAAAAGTCGTTTGCTTGACCACCTCTGTCCCATTCGTGTTTCTACCGTGAAGCAGTCGCTTGCATGCCTGTGTTTCGGTTTGAAGGGTGCGATATGGCAGTGAATTACAGGGTACAGAGGAATAACACCTGATTGCTCGGGAATGGCAACGCATTGGGGGTGTCATGGGCGAAACAGTATACTCTGTTATGTCCATGGTATTGTTCATGTCTATAGGCGACGGTAATCACTTTCCATCAGATGGACCGTCAAATTGTTTGCCATTCATTGCCAAGTTGTATAAAAAAAAAAAGCATACAGCCCGTCTGATTGTAAACGGTCACTGTAGCCGATGGGCGCCTGCAACACTAGGGGCGTCACGTGCGCGTCGCCGACCCTGAAGAAACGTTCATATATCCATTTTGAAAAACCCCATACTGTAGTCTCTAGGGGCAACCTCTTTTTAACAGTACAGCTAAACATGGGTGGTGGTGGGAAAGGGATCGTTAGCAATGGAGTTTGACAGCCCCATTGCTAGCAATATGCCTTATTAGGTCGACCTCCACGTGGTTCCCCCTGGAAACCATCGTGAACAATTCTTGTTGAATTCGTCACGATGGGCTAACCGACCTACTTCATCCTCACCTATCATTCTTCACTGGTGCCCCGCCGGTGTATACCGATAGCGCGGGTTGTTACCATTCCATTATCATCCATTAAAAAAAAGAGCATGTATTTAGTATTCAGTGCAGCCTATACTCAACTTGTCAGACAAACAACGGTTATATTATTAGTATTACAGGGAGTACGCTCGTTTGAAAAATAAGTATTGCCAAAACATGCTGCTTCCAAGTAATACCCATTAGCATGAGTATTTTTACAGAAATAAATAAAAAAATTTACGATGTTCTCGCGAATTGAAATGCTTTATTGTTGTCTAGAGACTGCTTTATTGTTTCGCAATATTGTATTTTTTTTTAATGGAAAAAAAATTACATTCAAATATCGTCTCGTAACATATTTGCATGGCTGTGTTTCGGTTTGAAGGGTGGGATATGGCGTGAATTTAATGGGTACAGAGGAATAACACCTGAGTCCTTAGGAATGGCAACGTATGGGGGATATCATGGATAAAACAGTATACTCTGTCAACAGTAAACTATAAAAAAAAATTAAAAAAAATGCGAATTGATTTGACTTCATATTAACGATTTTATACATAACAGGATACAGTCGAAATTATATATTATATATTATTCCCAAAGAGGGTTGACGTCAGGCAGGTCGTAAAACTAAAAGCTAAATCATTTTTTGTAATATGGATAAAAACATTACGCCGACCCCATATAATGATTGGAATATGGGTAGGAAGATAATGTTGATGATGATGATGATATATATATATATATATATATATATATATATATATATATATAAATTCAAATTAAATTATTTTTATTCAAATAAACAAGCATATTTAAATAAGTTTTATGACTTTTCTGTATACAGCTTTCTTGTTTTTGAATGAACCTCCTTGTTTTTGAAAGAACCTCCTTGTTTTTGAAGACACATGAAAAACAAGAAGTTCTCAATTCGATTTGTAACTGAAATTTGTAATTAATTTATTTTAATTTGTTTTTCATCTAAAAATATATATACGCATAGTTTACAGCCATAAAAAATTTATCAAAATTGATTAAACAGTTTTTAAATAAAAACCAATGCTTTGTGCTACAAATGAAGTATTTTTTTTTATATATAAAACACAATTTCAATAACAACCAAGCTTTGTTTCAATCAGTAAAGTGATTCCAAGGTGTTATCATGGCCTCTTTATAAGTATTAAGAAATCAGACATAATTATGCAGTTTTATAATTGCAAATTGCATGTGATTTGCATGTGTACGTGTTACATAAGGTTTACACTGCATTAATAAGAAATATATAATTGGTTAAATAAATTATATAACTACTGAGCAAGTTTTTTTATGCAACTTAGAATAGCAAACAAGCTGACGGCCCACCTGATGGAAAGTAGCAACCGTCATCTATAGACATCAGCAGTACCATGGACATAACAGAGTATACTGTTTTACCATGCGTTGCCATTCCTGAGGACTCAAGTGTTATTCCCCTGTACCCTGTAAATTCACTGCCATATCCCACCCTTCAGACCGAAACACAGCCATGTAAATAACTGCTTCACGGTAGAAATACGAATGGGACAGAGGTGCCCAAGCAAACGACTTTTGTACAAACTCTCCCTCTGGTCGAAGGTGTATAGGTAATGTAGTTATATTTGTAATCGCATTTAAACTATGTACCTAATAAATATATATCTAATATTTGGCCTATATGTAATTGGTGATAAAACATACCTATCTATGTTTTTAATGACCAAAAACGTTATCTCTTTTGTAAATATAGTGATTAGATATAAAACAATTCAAATATGAGCAATTGAAAACTTGAACCCCAAAAAATAAAATTAATTATTACATTTAATTAATAATTATTTCCTATTAATTAATTATTTTCAATCAATTAATTTATGTCAGTAAATGAATTATTTTAAACCAATTAATTATTTTTAATCAGTTAGTTTCAATTAATTAATAGGTTCAATCAATCGATTAGTTTCAATTAATTAATTATTTTCAATTAATTAGTTTACATTAATTAATTAGTTTCATTTAAATAATTAATTTTAATTAATTATTTCCAATCAATTATTTAGTATCAATCGGATAATTATTTTCTCTCACTGCATTGTGTTGGCTGGAAGAGATCTCTTTCAGAAATAAGCCCACTCTTGCTAATAAGCTGTTAAACTAATTGCTGTATTTTTTGGTCAAGTGTAATAAAGAATAATATATATAAAATATTTTTGAAATATACTTTAGCGGACGGTGATGGTATGGTAACCCCGCCTGCGCTAACGGTATACGCTGGCGGGGCACCAGTGAGGAATGATAGGTGACGATGAAAAGACAGGTCAGTTAGCCCATCGTGATGAATACACCTGGAATCTTGATTTCAGGTGAATTCATCACTATGGGTATACTTAGGGGCTTATATCACGGTTTCCAGGGTGGACAGGGTTATTATTAACATTACTAACAATACCCCCCCCCCCTCTATTGATATTTCGTTACATTATTGGTGTTCAATTTATTTATTGAATGAATTCATCTAGAATTAAGTACCATGGTTTATAAGGGTAACCGCGAGGAGGTCGACCTGACAGGGTTATTATTAACAGTACTAACAATCCCTCCCACGCCCTCTATTGATATTTTGTTAATTTATTGGTGTGGGATTTATTGATTGTTTTGTTTAATGAGGTGTCGGATTCGATTCCCAGTCAGGCCATTTTAGGAAAGGATCTTTCCAGAATTGTTTCGGGTATGAGTGTTCTGGGTAGGCATCGGTGATATTGGTACTGCTTTAATATCTATATATTGGGGTTTTTTAAGCATTTATGGCAGAAAAAAGGTCGTCACCCATTTGGATATCGCCCATATCGGTCTGATATATATTTTCGAATATATTAACAGTCTGTTATCCAATATTATTTTTTTCGGATAACAGACTTTTAACATAATCGTTATTGTACCTAGTATATAATTTTTTATACAACTTAGAATGGCAAACAAGCTGACGGCCCACCTGATGGAAAATGGTAACCGTCGCCTATAGACATGAGTAGTACTGTGGACAACAGAGTATGCTGTTTCGCCCATGATGCACTCCCCATGCGTTGCCATTCCTGAGGACTCGGGTGTTATTACTCTGTAAATTCACGCCATATCCCACCCTACAAACCGTAACACAGCCATGCAAACACAACTGCTTCTGGACTCTGCCCCGAGATGACCGTCTCTCAGTTTCGATAGTCAATATCAGTCTTTGACCGAGTTCACAAAGTGAGAGGTTCTCCGTTCGGTTGTATTTTTTCTATGTTTGTCACCTCATAACTCCGTCAGTTGTGAACCGATTTGGAAAATTCGTTTTTTTATCTGAAACTGGTTTTCCCACAAAAGAAAAACACACCTGCAGTGCCTCTGGTGTTGTGGGTGATCATGGGCGGCGGTAGTCACTTACCATTAGATCAGCGGGGGGGAGGGATTGTTAATAATAGACTAAAGGCCCCATTGTTAGCAATATACCCAACCTGGTCGACCTCCACGTGGTCCCCCCTAGAAACCATCGTGCTGAATTCCAAGTGTATTCGTCACGATGGGCTAACTGGCCTGTCTTTTCATCGTCACCTATCGTCCTTCACTGGTGCCCCGCCAGCGTACACCGATAGCGCAGGCGGGGTTACCATTCCATTATCATCAATTAAAAAAAAACTATCAGGTGAGCCGCATGCTCGTTTGCCACCTGTGTTATTTATAAAAAAAAAAAATTGAAGTCTGTTTTTTTTTAGAACATATATCTATAAGAATCTTTATATCTTCCATTATTGTCATCTAACTTCCATTTTTTTTAAATTTAGATATATAAAAAATTATAACCTTTTTTTTATATATTTTATATTTATATCGCATTTGTTGCTATGAATTTTAAATAAAAAAAAAGTTTAATAAACCCGCAAGAAACTCAACAGTGACTCTTGTTGTTTGTTTTTTTTTAATTCTATTTTCAAAACTAAAGCGTATCAAAATTATAATGTCCCAATAATATATTATGTTTTTGTCTCATTGCGGTCGATTCTGAGGCGTCGTTTCTCTCAATCTATTTTTAAAACAACAATTTGATATCTTAAAGAAACATTAATGCTTAGGAGCTATACAATCTAGATTTCTAATAAGTTTAAAACGAATTAAATGCCGGCAGCACACCTGCAATGCCGCTGGTGTTGCGGGTGATCATGGGCGGCGGTAGTCACTTACCATCAGGTGTGCCGCATGATCTTTGCCACCTGTGTAGTAAAAAAAAAATTATAAATTTAGTTTATAATAGTCTACAAAAACAGTATTTTTTCATAACTATCAAATAAATATATCAAGGTTTAGATATCTTCCTCAGGAATGGCAACGCATGGGGGGTATCATAGGCGAAACAGTATACTCTGTTATGTCCATGGTACTGCTCATGTCTATAGGCGACGGTTACCACTTTCCATCAGGTGGGCCGTCAGCTAGTTTGCCATTCTAAGATGCATAAAATTTTTTTAGAGAAATGATGTCTCATATCGAGTCTATTGTTATAGTTTTTTTTTCTTTATTGTTTTATCTTTAAATATTTAATATGGTAAGTTGATAGTATTGCAATGTTTAAAAATCAATCGTTGTTTATCTAAAAATAATGCTGTCTAAACATATGTCATGAACAATTCTTTAACCTTATATAATAAGAGAGATTGTGATTAATCAAAACTGTGTAAGTGTTTTCCTTTGCCTTAGTTGGGGGTTTTTTTTTTGGGTAGACTAATTTAGTTTAGTGGTTTAGTAATAAGTAGTTATGTTTACTTTGTAACCAAAAACTATTTTTATTTTATACTTACCAGTTAGTAGATGTATGAACGTTTAATGTTATCGAATAATGTGCGGTTAATATTTACAAAATGTTAAAATAAGAAATCATATCACATGTCAGTTGTATAATATTACCAGAACCCACCTCTTTTTTTTCAATTCGCGCCATTTTGTTTCGCGCGTAAAAAGAATTCAAGATTTGTGCCAACATATTCCAAATTTTTTCCATTATATATCAGCCATTTTCATACGAAATATGATGCACAAGTTATGCTGTTAAAAAGTGATTTTTTCTCATTCCAAATTGTATAAGAAATATTGCAATAAGATACATAGATTCCTAGTATGCATTTTTTTTTTAGTTTGTTGCTACATTGGGTGGGAGAAGTGCCTTCATTATTTGTCTCCAGAAACTCAGTGTGTTAGTAGAATTTATAGTAGATTTGAACTATATCAAATGTAGCTGTATGGCTATAGGCCCTTTGTGCTGTCGAACGCATAATTAAAAAAATAATTACCCGCCAAAATTATGAGCCTATGTAATGGGGCATATATGAACTGTCGCCATTGTGAATCTATGATTCCTTTAATTATGCACAAATAACTATTTTAGATACTAGAATTACTTCAATTGTTATTTGTAACATCACAGTTAAAAATAATGTAAGTAAATGTGTACAATGTGATATAATAAATATAATACTTATAAATCTGTGTTTTAATTATTTAAACTATCCTACCACTATTTTTTTTTTATTGAAATAACCTGTAGCACTTTGGATGGAAAGTGATAATTGACTTGCATTGTAACTACTCAATGATATTTTGAGCCAGTATCCGCAATTGGATGTATTTGCCTCCAACTTGCTGGAGTCTCGTCGACTGACCACAGAGTATTTGTGTTCACACGTTTTTTGTTCGAGTTAAATCTTTTTATATTATTTTTTGTTTAATATTTTTGTGCAATATTCCTTTTTATATGTTATTGTACTGATGCTTTCCTGTGTGAGCGTATTGGAAGACTGTAAGGCTCACCCAGTGGATGCAATGAATAAATAAATGAATAATCGTTGTTTGTACAGATCAGCGTCGGTTTAAGATCGGTGTTGCCAGATTATTTTGGATATAAAATTTTCTGTCTCCAAAATTTTGGAGAAATGAAATTCTTGCAGAAGTTTTTAGTATATACTATATATATTTGATTTTTTTTCTGAATAGGTAATACAAAATTCTCATTTAATAAGTAGACAATAAAAGTGAAATGAAATGGACATGTTAATTTTTTTTGTCAGTTATGGTGATTTGGAAATAGAATAGTGGTATATAAAAACCGCCCCTAAGGTTATTGACCACCCTGCCTGGGGTAGAGCGAGGGGAGAGTACGCTCTAGGCGCCAGATGTCAAGGGGCGCCATAATGTCAAATGTGAAAAACATTTAGAGAGGGGCGGGACCAGTATATTTTTTAATAGATTATTAACCCCGCCTGCGCTATGCAGTACATGCTGGTGGGCCATCAGTGAAAGATGATAGGTGAGGATGAAAGCAGGTCAGTTGACCTATCGTGATGAATTCAGCGAGAATTGTTCACGATGGTTTCCTGCGGGGACCACGTGGAGATCCACCTGATAGGGTATATATATTTTTTATAATAGGTACAGGGGGCAAACGAGCATGCGGCTCTCCTGATGGTAAGTGACTACCGCCGCCCATGATCACCCACAACACCAGCGGCATTGCAGATGTGCTGCCGGCCTTTTAAAAGGGAATATACTCTTTTCTTGAAGGTTATGATGTTATATTGGTGGCAGTAGGTTTTTTTTTATATAACTTAGAATGGCAAACAAGCTGACGGCTCACCTGATGGAAAGTGGTAACTGTCGACTATAGACATGAGCAGTACCATGGACATAACAAATAACTGTTTCGCCCTTGGTACCCCCCATGCGTTGCCATTCCTGAGGACTCAGGTGTTATTCCTCTGTACCCTGTAAATTTACGCCATATCCCACTCTTCAAACCGAAACACAGCCATGCAAACACAACTGCTTCACGGTTGAAACACGAAGGGAACAGAGGTACCCAAGCAATCGACTTTTGTACAATGTCTCCCTCTCATGTTGAAGAGTTCTTCAGTACACAGCTCGTTATATATCGTTAATTGCTAACATAGGAAGTTGCTAGTCCTTATTACTAGTAATTCTTTACACACAAAGGGAGGTAAAGTCTCGCCTTAGACTTAATAGTAATTCTTTACAAACAAAGGGAGGTAAAGTCTCGCCTTAGACTTAATAGTAATTCTTTACAAACAAAGGGAGGTAAAGTCTCTTCTTAGATTTAATAGTAATTCTTTACACACAAAGGGAGGTAAAGTCTCGCCTTAGACTTAATAGTAATTCTTTACACACAAATGGAGGTAAAGTCTCGCCTTAGACTTAATAGTAATTCTTTACACACAAATGGAGGTAAAGTCTTGCCTTAGACTTAATAGTAATTCTTTACACACAAATGGAGGTAAAGTCTCGCCTTAGACTTAATAGTAATTCTTTACACACAAATGGAGGTAAAGTCTTGCCTTAGACTTAATAGTAATTCTTTACAAACAATGGGAGGTAAAGTCTCGTCTTAGACTTATATAGTAATTCTATACACACAAAGGGAGGTAAAGTCTCGCCTTAGACTTGAGGACTCGATACCGCCTAAGCTTGGGATCGTTTACAATTCTCATAGCTCGTTTCTATGAAACAAATAATAAAAAAATTAATACGTTTTCGAACATAATATTTTATTATTACAAAAACAACATAACACCAATAACCTTTACTATAATTTCCCTAATAAACACCTATGTACACAATGAAATAATGTTTATTCAGCCTGCATGCGAGTAATTGGTAATTACTTATCGAATGTTTACATTTCATCATTATTTGAATTTATTATTACGCATGTTTTTATTAATCATATAAAAGCTGAAATTAATACATTATTATCTAGGAATTATATAGAATAGGCCACCCCTTCCTTTCCCGTGGGTGTCGTGAGAGGCGACTAAGGGAGAGCGAGGGATGGGCAGCAGCGTCCCTCTTAAAGCAGCTCTAAAAGCCTAACTGCGGTCGCCAACCAGCTTGTCAAGTGTGCCAATTACTGCCAAAACTCTTCTTATGGGGAAGGCTTATGTTCAACAGTGGAGAGTCCATTCCATTTCCTGCGAGTGTCGTAAGAGGCCATCCATCATCATAATTATATCAGCCTTTAACTGTCCACTGCTGAACATAAGCACCCCCCCCCCCAGTTTTGTCAGTATTTGCCACGCTTTGAAGGCGGGTTTTTTTTTTATGGGTGAAAATAGTATGGTAACTCCGCCTGTGCTAACGGGATACGCTGGTGGAGCACCAGTGAAGGGTGATAGATGAGAATGAAAACAGGCCAGTTAGCCCATCATGATGAATTCATCAGGAATTAATAATGATAGTTTCCAGGGAGAACCGCGAGGAGGTCGACCTGGTTGGGTATATTGCTGGCAATTGGATTCTCAGTCTCCATTACTAACAATCCCTTTCCTCCCTTGAAGGCGGGTTGACAATCGCAGTTAAGCTGTTAGAGATGTTTTAAGAGAGACGCTGCTGCCAATCCCTCGCCCTCCTTTAGTCGCCTCTTACGACACCCACGGGAAAGGAAGGGGTGGCCTATTCTATGCCGGGACCGACACGGCGATTAAGGGAAGTTAATGGTCTAGAGATGGGAAGTAGCGTTTCTCTTTGAGACATCACCAAAGCTTCCTTCTAAGTTTGCCAAGCGTGGCAACTACTGGAAAAACCTTCCTCAAGAGGAAGACTTAGGTTCAACAGTTTTTTTTATACAACTTAGAATGGCAAACAAGCTGACGGCCCACCTGATGGAAAGTGGTAACCGTCGCCTATAGACATGAGCAATACCATGGACATAACAGAGTATACTGTTTCGCCCATGATACCCCTCATGCGTTGCCATTCCTGAGGACTCAGGTGTTATTCTTCTGTACCCAGTAAATTCACGCCATATTCCACCCTTCAAACCGAAACACAGCCATGCAAACACAACTGCTTCACGGTTGAAACACGAATGGGACAGAGGTATCCAAGCAATCGACTTTTGTACAAAGTCTCCCTCTGGGAGAGATTTATATAACAAATATCTAAATAAATTAAGTTAGGTATATGATGAAACATCAAATGCATTGCAGGGAGTCTTTTTTTTAATGTATGATAATGGAATGGTAACCCCACTTGCGCTATCGGTATACACCGGCGGGGCACCAGTGAGGGATGATAGGTGAGGATGAAAGCAGGTCAGTTAGTCTATCCTGAAGAATTTTACGAGAATTAATCATGATGGTTTCGAGGGGGAACCACGTGGAGGACGACCTGATAAGGTACATTGCTAGCAATGGGGCTGTTAGACCCCATTACTACTCGAATCTTTAGGCGACGGCTACTACTTTACATCTACATCTCCATTTTCATTAAAAATCTATACCGGGACCTACACAGTATAAATATTAAATTTAAAAACAAAATTGCCTTTTTTATTCATATTTCATTGCGAACATGACTTGCTGTTTTATCCACGTCAACAATAGTACAGATAATTCCTTTTAAATGTATTTATATGTGTAATTTATGACTCGACCACAAGACTACGCCAGGGGGACACGATGACGAAAAAAAAATGGCCGCGCGAAAAAAATTTTAATAGATGGCGATACTAGTCACGATTCACTATTAATGCTTCCGTAAGTTAGAAATCGTACCTTAGAAATCATTTATAAAATATGTATACTTTTATTTTAAAAATCTCCTAAAAACGTAAAAATGAATAGAATAGATTCTTAAACCAAATCTCATTAGTTATATTAAAATAAAAAAAATGTTTTATTTGCTGTTTTATCCACGTCAACAATAGTACAGGTAATTCCTTTTAAATGAATTTATATGTGTAATTTATTGATTAAAGTCACCTGAAATAATCAAATAAAGAAACAGATGGTACGGCGTGTTGAATGCCTTAACAGCAAACGTCTGTTTTGTTCGAAAAACAAATAACCATGTATTTTTTTTTTATGCAGAAATTCACTAATGTTTTTTTTTCTTATCTTTATTTATTTAGGAACTTTTGTTCTTTTAGGCGCGTCGGTCCCATCGTAGCTTAATCGATTTTAGGACATCAATGGATATATTTTAACAAAACATAATCAAATTCAAAAGACACCACCGAATCAAATAATACGAATGAAAAGAATGTCTCGAATGTGAAAAAAAAAACAAAAAAAAAAAATTACAAATCTATGGTCGGATGTTTATTTTTTGATTGGTGAAAATGGTATGATAACGACTTGCACTAACGAGATACGCTGGCGGAGCATATGGTCGGATGTAGGCCCCAAGGCAGGTAGATAGAAATTCATTAAAGGCGTTTTAAAAAAATAAATCATTTTTACCGTGAGCACATTATATGTACTAGGTAGGTAGGGATGGGTATAATATTTTGTCCACTGCTGGACACAAGCACTCTCCATAAGGGGAGTTTTTTTTTAAATGGATGATAATGGAATGGTAACCCCACCCGCGCTATCGGTATATACCGGCGGGGCACCAGTGAGGGATGATAGGTGAGGATGAAGCAAGTCAGTTAGCCCATCGTGACGAATTCAACAAGAATTGTTCACGATGG